GAGAGAGGAGAGAGAGAGAGAGGGGGAGAAGGGGGAGGTGTAGAGTGCAGCTCAGAGAAAGGATTTTTATCCCATGCTGCCTAAGGCTATCATCATCAAGCTTTGTCAGCAAGAAAAGCAGAGTGGAGAGAGATAAATAAAGTGGACTAAGTGGAAGGAAAGATAAGAGTTATATGCAAAGATAAAGGATACAGTTTCTATGCGGCCAGCCCGCATGTGTAGAAATGTGGGCTCCGCAATAAATATATTTTTAAAATATTATTTGATCTTAATTTTTAGATAATATATAATCTTTAACATGGAGATTATAAATATGAAAAATAAATAAAAAATTAAAAAGTAGAAACAATAATCATATTAAAAAGACATTTGGACTGTTATATTCACTTGCTTTTAATGAATTACCTCCATCTTTACGATGGATGCTTTATGCATCTAGACCGTATATTGTAAAAATACGGTCCAACCCACATGAAAGAATTTTCTAATAATAAGTGCCCGTGAATTCTTCATAAATTACAAACTACTGCTGAATGCGTATTATTAATCGCCACCTGTTGCTATTTTTCTACTAACAGTGGAGTGTCGTTCAAATGTCCATTCCACATTGTTTATTAGCCAGTGGCACTTCTCACAAAAGCAAGCCAACGAGAACGCCAATCTTAACCAAAATAATAAGAAGTATTATTTTAATATTCGGATCGGTAGGGTAGATTGTTCACCCGTAGATTTATATCAGGTCGTTGGATCGGCAATATTGAGTCGGATCGGTTTCAATCAATGATCTAAAAAATATTAAAAATAAATAAAATAAAATAAAATTTGAAGCACAAAGGCCCTTGTCTTTAGCATGAGTATGCTGTACTTTTTAGGTGTGTTTGTTTGGCCGGAGCTTCGGCTTCAGAAGCCGAACCTTCTAAGCCTTTTGCCTGCATTGGTGGACATGGAAGGAGTTGGAATTAGGAAGAAAATGGAAGTTGCAACTTTGGTCCAAAAACAGAACCGCAAAATATAGATCCGAGGCTGATTGTGCTACAACGACGTGGCTGCCTTGATCTCGATCAAGGGAATGAAGAGGAAGGGATCTTCAGCCCTAACTCCTGCCACTAGAGGTACTGCAAGTACACAAGATGGCCTTCTAACTCAAGGTAATCGAGATACACAATGATGAGAATTCTCCCTCTCTATACCAAAGAGGAGGAAGAAGATTTCATTATCAAATTATCAACAAAACTAACTATTACAGCAATGTACAATACATACAGACCCATTGTGGAGCTAGAAAATGTTCAAAATATCCCTAACAAACTAGCAAAACGATCCAATTTTCCTATACCTATTCCTTATAACTTTCATGCAACCTAATTCCCATATAACAAAATCTTCATTCATCGAACGATATTCTCATACATAGAAAGTCTACTTCATTGAACTTTTAGATTGATGGGTACTCAAAATAACATTACTCTATTTTAACTCTTTGACAACAAGAAAAATCCACAGCACTCTATTTTTACCCTTGACTTTAAACTAAACCAAGAAAGTCCTTCATAACAAATTATGTTTATACATTTTAAATGACAAATACATCCCGGGGCCAAAAGTTCTAGAAAATAACAAACACATCCCAGAGCCAAATTCAAAAATGATACTTGTTCCTGCCTGCCCCTTGATACAATTTACATCACCCTTCCATGCCATCATTAGAGGCAAAAGGTTTAGAAAGTTCGGCTTTCAAATCCGAACGAAACTCCTGCGAAAGACCCACATTTAGGTTTCAGCAATGCAGAAGTGACCCTTATGATGCATGAGCAACAGGCAACCATTTCACCAAACATTGGCTTGTGTTGGTGCCAATAAAGTATAGGGGGTTTTGGATACGGTTGAATCAAATACAATTTTTCATATAATAATGAAATATACTAAATATATAAATTATAAAAAAACTGGTAAACTAACAACTAGAAAAAGCTATACTCATAATCTGTTATATAGTTTCACAGAAGTCATGGTGGAATTTCGTTCAAGGAATAAGAAGAAAATATTCATAATCCACATATTGGTGCCAATAAAGTGTAGGGGCTTTTGGATACGGTTGAATCAAATACAATTTTTCATAAAATAATTAAATTTATTAAATATATAAATTATAAAAAACGGTTAAACTAACAACTAGAAAAGCTATATCCATAATTTGTTATATTTTTTCACAGAATTCATGGTGGAATTCCATTCAAGGAACAAGAAGAAAATATTCATAATTTACATATTCGTGAATTACACAAAAAATGAATTATATATTTTATCTAGATTCTTCGAATGGGAGAAGTGGAGATGTGCATCTGGAGTTTTATGTAATCTCCGCATATCTATGAAACTAAATGGGACATTTTATAGGGAAGTTGTAAAAGCAGCCATATTGTATTTGATAAAATGTTCGGCGGTCAACAAACAACATATCCACAGGCCGAGTGTAGCTGAGATGAGGATGTTGAGATATATAAGTGGCAAGATAATAAAGGATAAAATTCAAAATAATTGAATGGAACTTAGGGGTAGATCCATTGAACAATAGGATGAGGACAGTAGACTTAGGGAGGCTGAGCATGTGCGGCACAGATCTAATACAACATTGCTTAGGAAGGACAAATTGGTTCAAGTAAAAGGCTCTTAAAAGCATGAGAAACGCCCAAAAAGACATGGATAGAAATAGTGAGAAGAGATATAGCAACTTACAGTCTGACTGAGAGCATGACCGTTAATAGATCAAAATTGTAAAATAAGAAGTCACATAGCCGATCCACATAGTTGGGATGGGATCTCTGATATTAGAGGGAAAGTAACCTATGAATATGTTCCACATCGTTGAAAGCTAAGATAGCAGCCCCTTCATTTCTGGTCAATTTTTAGGTAAAAAGCGAACAAGTTGAAACTTGAATGTCATCGAGGCTTTGACCAAATTGTGGAAGGTAAATGTGAGATTTTCAAGTTAGATGATGGCATTTTGTAGTAGTGAGAGCAAGGGTGGGGAAGGGAAATGAGCCTATGGCTGAGTCATGAAAGTAGTCATCCTCTTTCTATTACTTATTATTGTTATCTACATTATAAGCAATCTTATTCAGAACGTGGCATGTGCATTCTTTCAAGTTGTTATGTAAATTGTAACAAATATCATTCATGGGTACTTATGAACATTCTCAACAAAAAAAAAAAAGTATTCGTGGGTTCTTAGTTCCCTGGTAATTAATACTAAAAGAGGGGCATCTGCCAATTGTTAATTCATGGGTTCTAGCTCCCTAGCAGTTAACCAAATGCAAGCTAAGGAAATAAAATTTCAAAATTTTAATAAAACGTTATAAAAATATTTTTTAAAATTTTTTAATAAAGAACAATAAAATAATTTTAAAACCATCATAAAAATTTAATGTATTCAACAATTTTGAAAACCTTCAAAATATAATGTAACTTCAAGTAAGAAAAAAATAGTGATAAAAACGGGATTTCCAATGCTTACTTTCGTAGAAAAGTAACACATATATTGTAAAGCTTTACTATAAGAAATTTGGAAATTGGTCATTTGAAACTACTTTTAAAAATAATAGTTTTGTTAAAACTCTTGAAAATATTTTAATGAGTCATCAATGAACTTTAAGAGCATAAAAATATTGGAAAACAAAACAAATGAAAATAGAAAAATTGAAATAATTTTTAAAACTAATGTTTAGTTTCAAAAATTAATAAAAATTAACTATTGGAAAAGGAAAAGATAAACTCGTAACTATTCTTTAAAACACAAAATTTTATGCTTAAAAGCATAAATTCCACAAAAAATTGAAAAAAAAAATGCATGTTTCCTTTTTTATCTACTTAAGACGATGTAAATATTTTCAAATATCCAAAAAGGGTAATAAAACTCAAATATTAGAAAAAATATTAGGCAGTAAAAAACTATAATCCAAACTGAAAATATTAGGACATTGGTTTGCTATGCTGAAACATTTATAATTTTAATTTAAAATATAAGAAAATAAATAAATTTAAGATGCACCAAATGCACAAATATTATTTATTTCTAATAACAAAAAGTGTAAGTAAAAGAATAAATTCTTTTAACAGAAGACAAAATAACCTTATCAAACCCATTGTCTATATAATTTTCTAAGTTTCGTTAATTTATAAGATTTTCACTTGTGTTTAATAGCATCATTCATAATAAAATAAACTATGAAAATTTTATCAATTCAAAGCTATAAAATTAACAAATGAATATAGATGGAACATCAGTACTCATAAAATCTCAAATCAAGCAAAACCATGAATTGGAATTGATAAAGAGTTGATGCTTATAAAATTTAAATAAATCAACTATATACCTTTGGGGATGCAAGGTATCTCTGGTATAAACTCCCCACAACGTTTTTTTCAATATGAAGCACGTAATACAATTTTAAAATAAATAAAATGAAAACTCACAATTTATTTTTCAAGATAAATTTATTTTAAAATAGCGTGATTACAAATATTTGGATATAAAGAACTGTATAAAATAAACAAATAAATATAAAGATATTAATAAAAAAATGTTTAAAAAAAGTCTAAAGTAAAATATGTATAGAAAAAAAATGTTAAAAATAATAATAAATGGTAGATATTAATAAAGAATGTTCTAGAGAAAAATGAAATATTTCCCCCTCATAGTTTATGAATAATATAAAGGGTGCAGTTGGCATGCAGATGCATCCGTAGCGATAGAGGTAAGGTGCACCTTCAAATTTTATCATGGTATATAATTTTGATGCAAAATGTT